ATAGTCTATTCTCTGATCCAGTCAGTGGCTCACACAGAGGCTGATAGGATATGTCGAGAGTATTTTGTGATTTGAGGCAGAAGCTTGCTGTCCTGGAGGGAGCAGGGGACAAAGACCAGAGCTAAGGAAACTGGCCCTTAGTAATTCCGGCAAGCTGGAAACCAGGTAACAGACTCCTGCATGTGGCGTCTGTCCTTTGTTCCTTTACCTGAGAAGTTACCAACTAGTGATACGTGCAAATTAAAGAGTTTGGTGAACGCCAGAAGCGGATGTAAATAACAGCCGGCTTGCACCAAATTAGTTGTGCACATTCTTTAGTATGCTTATAACCCTCAATAAATGTGAGAAGTTTTGGTGGCTTGGGGCTCACTTAGAGCCTAATCTCAGTGAGACCTCTGAAGCCATGTTAATCCAGTCTTCCTCTCATTTCTTTTGGCTCTGACTTACAACATACAACACTCTCAGCACAGAAGAGACCATAAACCGGCTGCTAATTCGAGTCAAGGTCCAAGGTCACCATAAATTGTCTCCTGGAGTCTATCGTCTGATAGTTATTGGCTCAAACGGTCACCCTTCTAGAGGCTGATAGGATATGTCGAGAGTATTATGCAGGGGCTCCAGCCAGTCTTCCCCAAAAGATCCAATTCATTCTTAGGCAGTATTCAAAGTAGACTCATTGATAGAGGGACAGTGTTAAATTTCAGTCTCTCATGAAATACTCCAGGTAATCAACTTACAAAGGTTTATCTTGGTTTATTGTTTTAGAGGTTTAGTCCATTTTGTTAAGTGGTGGGACAGCACACTGCAGGGAATAAGTGGCAAAAATGTTTATCTCAAGGCAGAGGAGAAAGAAAGGAGGGTGCAGGGCCCCATCATCCCTCTTAGGGGCATGTGGCTTCTGCTGGGCCCCATGTTTAGAGGCTCCACCACTTCTCAATAGCGCTTCATCAGCTGAAGATCGAGCCTCTGACATGGTCTTTGGGGGATGCTGTGGTTTGTGTCTACGTGTCCCCCCAAATCCTCAAGCAGTCCTGGGGGTGGGTTCTAAAGTTTACGATTGACTCATGGTCCAGTGCTGGAATTATGGGTGCGAGTGCTACACCCACCCTGGGACAGGTAGCGTGCATACAATGTAAGGGAGGGAAAGACCTTCACTCTCGGCTACTGATCCTCCTTTTCGTGCTTGTATTTGAAGACAAGCATAAAAATGTGTGTAAAAGATAGCCATGATTTGGATGTTACTTTTACATAATAACAGATATTTTTATAAGTAGTATAAATGTCCCTTTTAATACCCAATTGCATGGCTATTCTATGACTTTCAAAATTACTTTTCTATGAAAATATATTTATTACAGGTTTTTTGATTATTTTCAAACTGTTATACCCATTGTATTATGCATATATGTCTTTTATAACTTCTGTTGCTTTAAGTAAGATAGCTTTCTAGATATTAAATATCTGCAGCATAATATACAGGAACTTTTTTGTAAGTGCTTCCTTCTCTGGGGGGCAAGTGGATCAGCTCAGTTGTTTAAGTGCCTGCTTGGGTGAACCCAGTCTTGTGCAGGGGAGGGCGGTTTGATTCCCAGCTCCACACGGCTTACCAGAAATGCCCTTAAGGGGATTTTACAATAATTAATACATTGCATATTGTTGTTTTTGTAGTAGCTATTCAGAGTACAAGATGCAGACATGATATCTTGTCTAAGCACTATTAGCACAAATCTTTCTTCTCATTGAACTAAGAGAAAGTAGCTGTATATCCTATTTTGTATATACAGATCTATATCTATAT